TACAATAATCCTAAAAATATTTCCCTCCTCAGTTCATTTTTGTGAGTCGCAGCAAGCTGAAAGCGGTTGGAGCTGTGGTAACACTTCAAAACTCGATGCAGACAACACTCAGTGATTTGTAATGCAAAGCTGGCCAAGGCAACACGTCTCCTATGTGTTTCCTCCAAGCAAACACAACAGGGATCTCAGTTTCGTCCTGATCCTATATATCACTAGAGACCAGTCCACCGTGGACAGACCCAGATCCGGAGCGAGGAGGAGAGGTCAGCTCCCGGCAGCAGCAGCAGTGTCTCCTCCTCCTCCTCCTTCAGGTGCAGAGCTTCTCCTCTCTGGGAGCCAACACCGACACCACGCTGCTGGAGACCCAGGACGTATTGCTGGACCCGCTGGAGGGAAGGGAGGCACAGGAGAACCAGGACTGAGAGGGGCAGACTGTCAGACCCTGCTGCAGTAACATGAGAGGTTTTCTAAAGAGAGTCTGGTGCTCAGATACACTACCACTTTAGTCCACAGGGGGCGCTAGAATCAACACTTGATGAAAGTTCCTTGTTCTAAATAAATAACGTTGAAAATGAGAAGGTTGGACTCATTTTTACAACGGAAAAAACATTTTTTGTTAATACGGAGAAAGTAAAGCATACCGATAAAAGGTACTATCGAGTACAAGTATCAGTTCAAGCGTGAACGTACCCAACTATCCATATTCCTCTCCATCAGCTGCAGCTGAATGGTTTCTACTCTGTGTGGGTTACCATGTGACGAACTATGTGGTCCTTGCGCTGGAAGTTTTTACCGCAAATGGAGCAACTAAATGGTTTCTCTCCTGTGTGAGTCCTCATGTGTTTCTTCAGATTTGCCTTGCGGCTAAAACCTTTACCGCACGCAGAGCAGCTGAACGGTTTCTCTCCCGTGTGATTCCTCATGTGAACCTGTAAACTCCCTCTCCACCCAAAAGACTTCTCACACACTGAGCAGCTAAAAGGTTTTTCTCCCGTGTGAGACCTCATGTGTCTCTTCAGAGAACCCTTGAGGCCAAATCCTTTCCCACACTCAGAGCAGCGAAATGGTTTCTCACTAGCGCTACATTGCGAATCGCTGACGGTGGCTTCGTCATTTTTTAAAGAGTTTAAACGTGACTGAGGTTCTCTGGTCTCCTTCAAATCATCATCACTGTCTCTGGTCTCAGGTTCAGAGGTGTCAGAGTCAGTGTCATTAAATCCCACATCAGCAGGAACAGTTGAGCTGCTGGCTAGATGCTCCGTCTCTCTGCTCTCCTCAGTTTGGTTTTGTTGAATCTGTGAGGAGCCACCGACGCAATCGTGTTTTTTGAGCTGATAATGCCAAGTAAACCTTTTGTCACAAACCCCACATTTTACCCGTTTCTCCCCCGTGTGCATGGTCATGTGGTATAACAGATACCCCTTTTGTGCATATCTTTTGCTGCACACAGAGCAACTAAATGACTTCTCACCTGAATGATATATCATGTGTTTCGATAAGTGTGTTTTTTGAGAAAAACCTCTACCACAAACTGAACAACTGAATGGTTTCTCTCCCGAATGACATGTCATGTGTGTCTTTACGTAATAACGCTGGGAAAAACTTTTACCACAAACCGAGCAACCAAATGGTTTCTTTCCTGTGTGAGTTTTCTTATGAGTCATCAGATTTGCCTCACGGCCACCTGACTGAGGTTCTCTGGTCGCCTTCCAATCATCACTGTCATCAGTCTCAGGTCCAGAAGAGTCTCCAGTCTTCTCATCAGTATCTGGATCCGAGTTCCTGTCTGGTTCTGGTCCTCCACAGTCCTCTCCATCAGCTTCTGTTTTCATCTGTTCAGTTTGTCTTTGATGTAGCTGTGAGGACTGAGCTTCCTCTTCATCATCGTCTTCACTCTTCACAGGAGTGAATGAGAACTTGATATCAGCATCCTCCAGACCTTGAAGCTGCTCTCCCTCCTGACTGGTCCAGAGTTCCTCCTGTTCCTCTTTAATGTGTGGGGGCTCTGGGTCCTCCTGTTC